GTAGGGAAAACATTTAATAAGATATAATGTCCATTTATGATTAAAGCAGTCAATAAAATGGGTATAGGAGGAAAGTACCTCCACATAATAAAAGCTATATATGATAAACCTTCAACTAATATCATACTCAATGGTGAAAACCTGAAATCTTTTCCTCTAAAATCAGGAATAAGGCCAGGATGTCCACTTTCACCACTCATTCAACATAGACCTGAAAATTCTATCCAGAGAAATCAGACAAGAAAAAGAAATACAAGGCATCCAAATTAAGAATGAAAAAGAAAAAGTGCCACTTTTTGCAGTTGGCATGATTCTTTATATAGAAAACCCGACGCCTAACCGGTTTGGCTCAGTGGATAGAGCATCGGCCTGCAGAATGAAGGGTCCCAGGATCGATTCCAGTCAAGAGCATGTACCTTGGTTGCAGGCACATCCCCGGTGGGCGCTGTGCAGGAGGCAGCTGGTCGATCTTTCTCTCTGATGTGTCTCTCCTTGATGTTTCTAACTCTACCCTCTCCCTTCCTCTCTATAAAAAAATCAATAAAAATATATTTAAAAATAAGAAAATCCAAAAGACTCCACCAAAAAAAAAAACTATTAGAAACCACGTACAAATACAATAAAGTTGCAGGATTATAATCCACTGCATTCCTATATTAACAATGAAATTTCAGAAAAAAATAAATGAAAAGAAAAACAGTTCCTTTTGAAATAGAAACAAAAAGAATCAAACACATAGGGATAAACTTAACAAAGAATGCAAAATATCTATATACTGAAAACTACAAAGCATTATTAAAATATATTGAAAAAGACACAATGAAATAGGAAGATATTCCATGTTTATGGATTGGAAGAATCAACATAGTTAAAATGTCCATGTTACCCCAAGTGATACACAGATTTAGTGCAGTCCCCATCAAAATCCCAATGACATTATAAAAATAGTTAAAACAAAAAAAAATATCAGCCATGGTCAGCATGGCTCAGTTGATTGGGCATCATCCTGAGCACCAAAGAGAAATGTGTTGGGGCACATATTCGGATTGTGGGCTTGATGCCCAGGTTTCGGGCTTGATCCCCAATAGGGGGCGTGCAGGAAGAATGAAAAAGAAAAAGTGCCACTTTTTGCAGTTGGCATGATTCTTTATATAGAAAACCCGACGCCTAACCGGTTTGGCTCAGTGGATAGAGCATCTATTGAAAAAGACACAATGAAATAGGAAGATATTCCATGTTTATGGATTGGAAGAATCAACATAGTTAAAATGTCCATGTTACCCCAAGTGATACACAGATTTAGTGCAGTCCCCATCAAAATCCCAATGACATTATAAAAATAGTGTAAAAAATCATCAGATTTGTATGGAACTACAAAATACCCTAAATTGCCAAAGCAATCCTGAGCAAAAAGAACAAAATTAGAGGTATCACACTATCTGATTTCCAATTATACTACAGAGCAATGATAACCAAAACAGCATGGTATTGGCAGAAAAACAGACACACAGATTAATGGAACGGAATTGAGAGCCCAGAAATAAATTCACATGTATATGTACAAAAAAATTTTGAACAAAGGAACAAAAACATACAATGTAGTAAGGAAAGCCTCTTCAATAAATGGTGCTAAGAAAATTGACAGGCCACATGCAAAAGAATAAAACTAGACCACAGTTTTTTCCCCATGGAAAAATTAATTCAAAATGGATCAAAGACCTAAATATTAGATCTGAAACAATATATTATACAGAAAAATATCTTAAGTACTAAATGTATGGGTATTGGCACCAACTTGTTTCCTTACTTTTACTCATTTTTTATAATATCTGCTTGTGGGAAATAGTACAGCTATTTGAGGTTACTTTTTTTCATGTACCTTAAAATTATCCAGCAATATATATTCATTCTTGTAGTCCCAATATATATTCATTTTAACTACCCACCCATTGATTCAACCTTTACGATTGACTTCTAAACAAGGGCATTATTATTTCAGCTTCCAGTCTCAAAGCTGACTTTTTGAATCCAGTAGGACAAAATGGACGTAAAATTCCACACTTTCTGAAAGAAATAAATGTGTAAATTCCAAAATAATGTATGAAAAGCAAATGGAGATTCCACCATGATTAGAAGAGGAAATTGAAGGCCTTTGAGAAAGAAGAAAAAGAAGAATAGGAAGACAGTGAAGAAGTAGAGAAAGGGGAGGAGGAAATTAAAATTAGAAGCTCAAGGTCAAGACCCATCCACATCTACAGATTCTCTCATTTTAGCAGATTTAGCCATACCATACTGAAAATAGACCAAAAACAAAACAAAACACTGTGTGAGAAAGCAGAGAAACACAGGCTGATACACTGTAATAATGCGTATGTGTCACACCTCAACCAATGACCAGAGAAAAGTATAAAGGGAGGACAACATGGGATTCAGAATCAGCTCTAAGAGAGATGTATACTTAAGCTTCACCTTACAGACAGATTTTGGGTGAAGGAGGATGAAAGAGGTGGGCAGAAATGGAAAATTTAAATTTATAGAATATTTATCCCAAGAGATTGAGCTAACTTGAATGAAACATTTATAAACCAGAGGAGGTCGAATTACTTCTTGCAAGTTAACTTTTTTTCTGATCATCGGTAAGAATAATGTCTCATGAAGAAGTTTAGTTCAGCTATGGATTAAATAAGTAATATTTTGCCTATCTGAATTCTGGTATGTTTTAGTTCCAACAATCTCTGTCTGGCTATTGGTTATGTTTTTTACTATATTCAGCAATTTCCTAGAAAATGTATTTATATCTTACTCAAATCTGCCTCTGTACAAGTTTTAGTCAACTTTCATTTTTGTTTTTTCTTAAGTATAGACCAGTTAACTACTTTTACAATGTGACACCCCTTACAATTAATTTTAAGTATTTTTCAAATCACAAACAAGTTCTCTATGCTCCAGTGTATTATTCTTAACTTTTGACATTGGTTTTGCATCTATTTTTAGTGTTTTTGAAGTATTCTTTGTCTTTCTTACCTGAGAGTCCCAAACTTGTCAATATTCTAGTAAAAGAAGATTATTCTTTAGAGAAAATAGGAATTCAAATCTTTAAAATACCTTTCATTTATAATAAGTGTCTCTAAAATAAAATGAGTAAACATACCAAAGGAGCATATCTTGGTTTTGGTTGTGGAGGATCCATCTTGCACCGACAGAGATGTTTGATCTTAGGTGATAGTTGGAAAGGCTCACAAAAAGATGGTAGTGAACTTTCTCTTTTTGGAGGAACTCTACCTGTAACTGCTCTTGTTTCTCTTCCTTTAAACGTGGTCTTTTTGGGTGACCTTTTAAGACTTCTTTTTGTTTCCAGTGCTTCCTTCTTTGATTCTGTAGATGTTACATCTGATTCATCAGCTTCTTTCTTTTTAGCCCCAGCTTTATACATTGACTCTTCAGATTCAGCATCTGAACTTTTGCTTATTCCAGGCTTTTTGGTGTCTTTCTTAAAAGGCACATTAGATTCAGCACCAGTATATTCTACGTTTTTCACTGCATCCTTTCTCTTGGGATCTTTCTTTGAAGTTTTCTTAGCTTTCTTTGAATATTTCTTATCCTTTTTTGATGCCCAATCAGATTCAGTTTCAGTAGACTCTTCAGCCTTCATTGAAGACTTCTTTTTGTCACTTTTCTTTGACCCTTTCTTATTAATTTTTTCATCTTTTTCACCCTTTTTAAAAATCCCTTCAGATTCAGGATCATTATCAGTTGACAATGCTTCCTTCTTGCTATCCTTTTTCTTATCATCTTTCTTTGAAGCTTTCTTACTTTTCTTTGACTCTTTCTTACTTTTTTTTGACTCCAATTCAGACTCAGATTCCACATCAGTAGACTCTGTATCCTTTGCATTCTTCTTCTTGTCTTTCTTTGCACTTTTTTTATCCTTCTTTGAACCTTTTGAATCTGAAGATTCAGCATCAGAGCTTTTTCCTTCCTTCTTTGAAGACTTCTTTGAATTATTCTGTGAGTAATTCTTTAACCACATATCAAATTCCTTAGATTCAGTGCCAGGCTTCTGTAAATATAGCATTAAATCCATATTGGAACTATTTTTTGAGCAAGCCTCAGATTTGGCATTAGAATTGTTCTTTGAGCTCTTAGAACCCCTTTTTATACATATGGGTTCAATATCTGTATCCTTGGAATTTTTGAGAGCTCTACTATTTTTTGGATGCATCATTAAGACTGTCTGAGAATCTTTGGATTTTGGATTTGTTCCAGATTTGTACTTTGACTTTTTAGATATTTCACTTTCATGTGATGATTTTGATGGAGTTTTATCTTCTTTGTCTCCAATTTTAGATTTTTTATCACTTCCTGTTTCCTTGGATTCTATAATTGTCTCATGTGGGCGAGTATTTTTCTTGGAATCTCTCTTGAATATTATTGTTTTGTCATCTTCCAATTTTTCAGGATGGGCTTTAAGAGTACAGGGATGTCTAAATGGAGCCTGTTTCTTGAGAGTGAAGTAATTAGATGGACTTTGGAAATTTTTTCTTAAAAAATGCCACATCCATATATGAGCTGGCTTATGGACTTCCTCTAATTTTCTTTTATTATATCTCTAAAAAGATTGGTTAGAATAACAAGAAGAATTTTTGACAGTGCAATATATAGATAATGTATCATAGAATTGTATACTTGAAACCTATATACTTTTATTAACCAATGTCAACCCAATAAATTTCATTTAAAATTTTTCATGAAATAAAAAACAATTATATATTAAAATTGAAAATAAGTCTGGCTTCTTATTAACCATCCATTTAAAACTTATTTTTGGTGGTTTTTTTTCAATGTCCTATATGTGTTTATATGAGCTAACTCTACTTTGCAAATAAAATTACTTTAGGAAAAATGTTATTCATATATTGATTTATGTTGGGATTGAAGCAGATCAACAATGATCCATGATATTTCAGGGCCTATATTTACAATTGATAGTGGGATCATTTTGGACTCCAATATGGGAAATACCTTTTGGAACATTTTGTGTACATTTTTCCCTCAAGTTAGTTAATAAATAAGTTTATGCCTATCAAGATAGCCATGCCAATTCTTGTGATAGCTATAAGCTTCAGGCTAAACATCATTTCTACTCCTGCTTTCAAGGTCTCTGATCAACTTAAAAGCCTATGAGCCCCGCTGTGAAGTATTGTCAAAAGCAAAGACATAGAATAAAACAAATGTTTGATTCACATTAATTTGTGTAGCAGTAGTGTAGTTTTTTACCTCCCACCCAACATTTGTCATAGTGGATTCATAGATTAATTTTACATTTATTTCTTATATTCTTTCAACTATTCAGTAGAGTCATCACCAGTCAACGAACTGGTCATAAGTAATTAAAGGAAGACGATAAAGAAAAGCATACACTTAAATCACAGCAGATGTAATGAATAGAGCTTGAATAAATATATTGGATGTAATGCTGCTTTTTGGATATGTTTTTCAAACATATTTTGATAACAGCATGGATTGAACTCTGAGAACTAACTAGTCCTTCTCATGGCTACTGATAGCTCCACTTTATAAAAGCAGTAAACAACTTGATCCTCCCAGTATCTAGTATCCTTAGCACCAGATTAAGGTAAAGGGAGAGGCTCTGAAACCTCATCAAGAGAGCAGCTCCTGTTCTAAGTTTCAAAATTTTTGTTTTTGCAGCTGGTAAAAATTTTCTGAGATATCCCACCATTTGCAACATTTGATTATCTAGCTTGCCTGTTTCTTTAGCTATAGAATGCTGTTGAAATGGAGAGCCATATATAAACAAAAGTTTGATCTGAAACAGATGAGGGGGACCTGATTTATGGAGAATTATACATTTTTAAATATCTACCACAAATAGTTAGTAAACTTCAAATTACATATGTTTATCTATATTTAAATAATGTATTATCTAGATTTAGTTTTAAAATACACTTTTAAGTACTTACAGGAACTGTGATTTGTAGTTCTGAAGGACTTGATCTCTTTTTTCTACCTGGCTGAGGTGTTTTGGGAAATGTTAAAGTGAAGCATTCTTGATTCCATAATTTTCTGCTTGATTCTCTGACTAACATAAGAGAAGGCAATAAATAATTTACAATTAGCAGGCATAATTTCATAAACACTGAGATATTCATGAGTAAGAAATATATTGTTTAAATTAAATTAAGTTATAACTAAAAATATCCCTTTTCTTTCTGGAGTTTGTAGTTTCTTTGAATATCAATTAGGGACTTCAATGAGATTTTTCCATAAAAGATTATGTCCCTATGTGCAATAACTATGTTTAAAAATGGTGTTTGTAATCTAAAAATAATTAAATTTATTGGGGTGACAATGGTTAATAAGATTATATAGTTTTCAAGTGTACAATTTTATGATACATCATCTGTATATTGCATTGTGTGCCTACCACATCATTTAATCCTCAAATCTTCCATCACCACATATAATTTAATTTTCTAGATTAAACCCATTTTAAAGATAGATATTTAAATAATAGTTACAATAGTACAACAATAGGAATGGAAAATAGAGGAAGATTCACTATTTTCAAACATCTTCATAATAGTCTCTATTTTGGTTTACTTCTTTTGTGCCCTTTTGGTTAATTTGCAGACAATATGACTACTTGTATAGTTCCCATAATAGCTAGCACAAGGCTGAACATAAAGTAAATAGTAAAAATCTCAATTGATTAAATCTAAGTGTTTATTTCAGCACTCCTCTGACCTCAGTGTTATTCCAAGACACAAAAATTAGGGCAACAGACCAAAATACTCCATTCAGTTCTGTGAACTCTATTTTCAAAAAACGAGATTTGACATTGTGCAGTGAATACATAATGTAATGTAGCGAAGATGTAATATAGAATTGTGTACTTGAACCCTATATAATTTTATTAACTATTGTTGCCCAAATAAATTTAATTCAATTTATTAAAGGAACATATACACATTTTAGGGTGTCCCGAATAGAGTGATCAGGAGGATCACATTATGGGGTAGCTCTGCGAAAAGAAGCACTGGTAAGGTAACTAAGGACAGTTTTGAAGATGATGACACTGTGCTCTCTATTTTTAAATATTTAAGGAGATGTTATGTAGAAGAAGAATAAAGCATTTATAGAATAGTTGTACTAACTTAAAATAGTGCTTACTATGTATCAGACAGTGTTTTAAGCACTTTATACAGATCGCCTCATTTAACCCTCAAACAACACTTTGTATTAGATAATCCTATATAATAAAAAGGCAATATGCAAATTGACCCTAACAGCAGAATGACTGGGAATGACTGGTCACTATGACACCCACTGACCACCAGGGGGCAGATGCTCAATGCAGGAGCTGAAGGAATCCCAGACTGAGTGAGGGCACAGGCCGGGCTGAGAGACCCTCCCAAGTGCACAAATTTTTGTGCACCAAGCCTCTAGCATAATTTATAATTGCCTCTGTTTTACAGATGTAGAAAAATAAAGCACTGAGGGAGTTTAAATTACTTGATCCAAATCATAGAGTATAAGATTTAAAATTCAAACAGATATTTTGGGTCCAGTGTTTAGTCTCTTAATAACAAAGTTAGAGACTTATTTTGTGTATTTCTTGAAGGAAGAACCAGAACAATGGGTAAACATTGTAGCAATGAAGATAGATTTAAACTCAGTTTACTAAGAAGAACTTTCCTAAAGTTGTATTTGTATAACAAATGGATTATCCACTTTCACCTTTCTAACTGTATTTTCCTTTTCTATTCTTCATTTTGTTATAATGAATTTTAAACACAAAGGAGCCTTATGAAACTAAGTTTGTTTTTTTATAATGAAGAAGAGCATATTAAATATTATATTTTAAAATAATGTGTACAAACTCACATCAAGGCCTGAAATATTTTACACATATACACATACCAGCATGGACATACACATTCACACATATGATTTTCCTAAATTTTAACAAAAATTCAAGACATTTTATACTTTATCATATTGAATGGAAGATACTTGTAATTTATCCATAAATTTATTTTCAAATATAATCTAAAATATATTGAACTCCAAAGACTAAAATTTCTTACTTGGAAAGGAAGTATCATATGCTTTGATGTTTACTTTTTGTCTGTTAAAAAAAAGGAAATGCTTTAATTGAATTTGTACTATGGATAATAATAATAGTACTAATTACTATTAGTAATTATTAATATGCTCTCAATAATAAAACAAAAATTTTATGAATTATCTGATTTCTATTATCTAAAATGTATACTTAAAATTCATATCACATTTTTCTTCTAAATCAAGTTATATATGAATAAAAGTATATTTTTACCAGAAACTTCAACAAAAATAATGGAACAACAGATAAATAAAAACAATAATTTCACATATTCTAAAATATATAAAATATTTTATTTAATTACATAGAACCATAAATCCAACCAGTATACCTCCAATTTTTCAGTGAACAAGTCTAAAATGGTAAGAAACCCACATATTTCCTACATTCACTAAATAAGTTTTGAAAAAAAACTTCATTTTGTAGTTTTCTCAGTACTTGCATACAATCAAACCAATAATGATGTGTGATAGTGGCATATGTAACAGTTTATCTGTATTTTGAATTGTTCTTACACACAGAAGAAGTTGATCCATGATATGTTCCATTTGGAAAGTGCCAATTTGATCTGGTAATAATTATGTTGTCTACTGAGGATATACATTATAAAATTTATTTTAAAAATAATACTTTTTATTAGTTAGCAAGGATAGTGAGTTGTGAACATTTTAATCTGATATTATATTTATATACATGTATGCTCCTGAGCTTTTTTAATTTACTTTCTACACCATAAAATTAGTAAACAAAAAAGAAACAAAATTAGTCAAATTATTTATGTTTGAGTCAAACATATTTTCATTTCCTAAGTAAAGCTATAGTCTCCAGTACAAAGCTTGGTCTATACTTATCATTAAATAACTACTGACTTACTTAGGAAAGATTTTGGAGACACTGAGTAATTAACATATGCAGTCCAGTTGTTCTCAACTGAAGGTTGATGTCAGAATTAACTTAGAAATTTTCAAAATGTAAACATTCTTGAGAACTACTGTATTCTTGAAGCAGAATCTCTGGGTGTGCTTAATCAAGTGTGCATTTACATTTTTTCTCTGTTAATTTGGATACTCAGTTCTGGTTAAGAATCATAGCTCTAAATGGTCTTGGGGGGAAAAAACTTCATAGATTTGTGAATGTTCAAAGGTCTAGTCTGTGTTAAATCACTTTAATGCAATAGTGTAGCTAGAAGATATTATAGCCTGTGATCCTGGGAATTTAAGTTTGGAAGTCTGGCATGCTAACTTAAATGCTTTCATAATCTTGGAAAAAGACATTGCACTGACATTGATTTTTCACTTACTTTCTACAGTGTAAAGTAGTGTTTACAACACTTTCTCTTGAGTACAATTCATGTATAATTTATATTCTACTATAATAATGTAGTTTATATAAATCATACATTAAGATAGACA